TAAATTGGATAAGCTATTAATGTGTAAATGATTTGAAATTTTTACAACATGTACATGGTTAAGTGAACTATTTTACTGTGAAGTTTGAGAATTTTCAGAGTTATATTCGATTTTATAAAAATCGAGAGGGCTTAGTCGATCATTTTATTCTAGTAAATGATTTAAATGAACATGCATGGACTTAAGTGACCATTCATCCATAAACATTCATTTAGCATGTGAGTTGGTCGGAAATAGTCGCCGGAGTCCGGCAAGAATGGCCGGTTCGAGACACTATTGAAAATACAGAAAAGTGGATTTTCGAGCCCAAGTGAGAATTTTTCCGAGAACCCTATTACAGTCCAGTCGAGCCGAGAAAATCCATTCTACTTTTAATTGTTCACATGCATCTATGTGTTTTATATGCTTTTCATGCTATATCTGCTTCGCCTGCTTAACTGTCAAAGTTTCAGTATCAGTTTTTATGAGTCGAGCAAATTTCTTAGATATATTTGCTTATATTTTGGTAGCTTAAGCAGAGTCGAGCCTCCGACAGCTACCCCAGTTTTCAGCACTTGCCAGATCATTTTAGTATACCAGGTGGGGGCCCTGCACTGGGTATTACATTGCCTATAATCTTATACCATTTATGAGGTATGTATGTAGATATACAGTTTTACCCGAACGGTCCAGTTTAACCGTTCGTGGTCCAATTTATGTTGACTCCCAGTAGAGTCATCCTGGGTTTCTGGGGAGGCGACCCCCAGAACGTGATCACCTGAGAACCGGCCAGTTACCGGTAGTCCGCACCAGTACAGTACAGTTTTATTTATGTATATGCTGAGTTTATGATATTTGATTATACGTGCTGTATATTCAGTGCTGGTTCTTGCAGAGTAAAGTGGATTAGTACTCACGCCCCCACTATTATCTTTTTAGGTGATGGAGTGCAGCCCGGAGCGTGAGACGAGCATGGTGGTGTGGTGGTGTCCGAGACAGCTGGACATTTGTTTATGTTTATGTTATGTTGGCATGTATAATAATATCATATTATACTGTACTTTATTTTACGCTTCCGTACTGCCAACCTAGACCTAGTATGTATGCACGTTTAATTGTCCCTCATCCGTATTTTCCCTAGTCGGATTTTATATGTTGATTTGGGTAAGTGCATAAGTATCAGAAAAAGAGAAGTAAGTCAGTAAGTAAGTAGCATCCCGCAAGTTAGTAAGTTTAAACGTTTTTCGAAAAGGTTGCAGTATATTTCGAAATATAACCGCGAAAATTTTATCCAGTTTTTCGTGAGTCAAAGTTATAGTAGGCGGGGTGTTACAGCTTGGTATCAGAGCGCAGTTAGCGTTTCTGTAGACCAAAAGTCAGTCAACTTATCACACCACGCTCACGCACGCGCTGCCTCCGAGGTAAGTCACCTAAACCAGTCTTTTATTTTTGCAAGTGCTTATTCAAATTCATGTATGGGGCCTAGATAACTATACTCCTATAAGACAGATAACCCTAGAGGGAGAACTCTAAAAGAAACTATGTTTTAGAACTCTAGTCTAAGTTAGAACTCCTATTTGATTCAAAACCTTAGACGGATAAGTTGTATGTTATCGACGGCTCATCAAGAAATTTTTAAATCGTCAAGTTATTAATATTTAATCTTTTCTACCAAACTCCCCTATATGGTAACCCTGTCAACTGGCCATCCAGATGGCTAATCGCAGAAATAGGAATGCTCCAATCCCACCAGTCGCAGCGCCCTCCAGTAGTTCCCTAGCGGGATCTGGGGCAGCGCGTCGCAGAGTTTCGCGGTTTTCACCCAGCGACTTTTAACGGACAGGGAGATCCTCGACAAGTTGAGGAATGGGTTCGCAACCTTGATCTTATCTTCGAGGTCATGGGTTGCCCCGAGCCAGTCAAGGTCATGTGTGCTCAGCTTCAGTTGACAGGGGATGCGGGACTTTGGTGGAATGCCTACTGGGCCATGAGGTCTGGGGAGAAGACTAATCTCACGTGGGAGAGAGCGAAGGAGGTAGTTCGGGAGAAGTATTACCCGGATCACTACGTTGAGAGGATGGAGAGATAGTTTCTGAGACTAGAGCAGGGCGGCCGGACCGTTGACGAGTACGAACTCAAGTTCTCTCGCCTCGCCTTCTTCGCACCAAACCTCGTTGACACGGAGGTGAAGAGGACGAAGCGCTTCCGGGCAGGCCTACGTGGAGTGATCCGTCACACCATCAGTGCCATGGGTCCCATGACATATGCTGAGACAGTTTCTCGGGCCCAGCATATGGCCGAGAGTATAGTGGTGGAGGCCAGCCGAGTTCGTGCCCCAGTCAGGCAGCCAGTCCAGCCACTGGCATTACCAGTTCAGCCAGCCCAACCACCGATAGCGCCACCTCAGCAGGTGCAGCCCCAGCAGACACAGCGACCCAACAAGAGGAAGTAGATGGGTCGTAATGATTGGAGGAACGGACCGAGAGGCGCAGCGACAGCACCAACTCTAGCTTAGGCTGTGCAGCCTATCCGTCAGGCTGTACCACCATGCGCTACCTGCAGCCGTAATCACCGTAGGGAGTGCTTAGCTGGTCAGAATGTGTGCTATCACTGCCGTAGACCCGGCCATGGTATTCGTGTTTGTCCAGACCGCGCACAGAACCCGCAGGGACAGCGTCAGCAGGCCCAGAACCGTCCTGGAGGTGGACCAGCCCAGATCTTTGCCCTTAACCAGGCGGAGGTAGCCGAGCAGCCAGGTACAATGTCTGGCATGATATCTTTATTCAATGTACCAGTCTTTGCCTTGTTTGACACGGGAGCGACCCATTCGTTCGTTTCCACAAAGTGTCTCGACGCTATAAATGTCCAGGGAGTGAGCACTGTCGACCCCCTTGAGATCTGATGCCTAGCCTCAGGGAGGAAGATAGTGACGCACTCTTTGGCCAAGGACCTTAGTCTTGATATTGGTGGAAAAACTCTTGTCATCGATGCGTTTGTAATCGAGATGAGGGACTTCGACCTCATACTCGGAATGGATTGGTTGGCGAAGTACCACGCGGACATCCGATGCAAAGACAGAGAGGTGACGCTTCAGATGACTGGGGGAGAGCAAATCACGTTCTTTGGAACAAAGGCTAGAACCTTGTCACGTGTCATCTCAATGGCAAAAGCGACCAAATATCTGCAGAAGGAGGACTGTCAGGGCTACCTGGTGAACATCGTCGGGGACTCATCGGAGGAGCGGACGCCCAGAGACATCCCAGTGGTGCGCGACTTCATCGACGTCTTTCCGGGGCAGTTACCTGGGGCACCACCGAATCGCCAAGTGGAGTTCACGATTGATCTGGTTCCAGGGGCAGGACCAATCTCGAAGGCACCTTATCGAATGGCCCCGAAGGAGCTGCATGAGCTGAAAACTCAAATTCAGGAGTTACTCAAGCTTGGTTTCATTCGACCGAGTGTTTCACCCTGGGGAGCACCTGTTCTCTTTGTAAAGAAGAAGGATGGGACCATGCGAATGTGCATCGACTATCGGGACCTAAACCGGTTGACGGTGAAGAACAAATATCCTCTCCCCAGGATAGAAGATCTGTTCGATCAGTTGAGGGGTGCCAGAGTGTTTTCCAAGATCAATCTCCGCTCTGGTTACCATCAACTGAGAATCAAGGAGGCCGATGTGGCCAAGACCGCTTTCAAAACTCGATACGGGCACTATGAGTTCGTTGTGTTGCCGTTCGGGTTGAGCAATTCATCGGCGGTATTCATGGATCTCATGAACCGTGTCTTCCATCCCTTCCTAGACCAGTTTGTTATCGTCTTCATTGATGACATCTTAGTCTATTCTCGTAGTCTGGGGCAGCACGAGGAGCATTTGAGGATCGTGTTGCAGACTCTTAGGCGGGAGAGGCTTTATGCCAAGTTCTGCAAATGTGAATTCTGGCTTGATCGAGTGGCTTTTCTTGGCCACATTGTTACTGTAACGCCCCACTTTTATTTGCCGAAAATCAGAATAAATTTTTCAAATTTATTTCAATAAACACTTGAGGCGTTACTCATTTTCAAACGGTTTATCAATACTTAACCAAAATTTCAATACTCAATCATTCACCAATACTTAAACAATCATCAATACTCAATTATCCATACTCAAATTCGCAGTCCAATAATCAAGTCATCCTAGGGATTACACTCCCTATCAATAATCCATTAACCAATAATAAAGAAAACAGTAATAGCAATATTCAATTTTTGGGGGAAGCAATATCAATTATTAAGACCACCACTCGCATCCCTTCGCCGTGCCCGCAACACTAACTTGCATCCATGAAGAGCAGGTGGGGATGAGCACAATAGGAAAATCGAGGTGCTCACCGCTATGCAATAATTAATATTCAATAATCAATAAACAATTTTAGGTATGGTCGTAGCATGTATACGAATCAATAATCGTCCCATCTCCTATCAATAATCAATAATGAGTCTCATGTGCACACCTATAGCAATAGACTACTGCCGAACTATATACCGAATGCCTTATCTAAGGCCTTACAACGAGTGTCCGGCCAGCAGGAGCAATAATCCACCCCGAATGCCAAAACTTACGCCTTGGCCTTACATACGAGGATCACCAGCCAAGGCTCACGGGGATAACCGTTCGACTGCCGGTACAGCTCACATCGAAGGCTACATGGTCCACATGCATACATTGATCATACCACAACAATAACAATTAATTAAGGCATAGCAATTTCAAATAAAACCCACCTGGAGTCCGAAGTAGCAAATAGTACACAAGAGTCGGTAGGAACGCGAGCTTGACTCGTCAAACACCTACATTTTCGAAGCAATGCTCGAATAAATAACTTATCTTAACTTGGTAAAATAACTTTACCAATTTGAGAAAACCCTAGCTTAAGGTTCACGACTTAGAAAATTCTTTTAGCGTTGGAACTCTCGACTCGTCAAACACCTTGAAATAATTTTTTTTTTAAATAATATTAAGACTCGGCTAAAAATTTCACTTTAAGACCTAACAAAATTTAAAATTAAATGATTTCCCAAAATAAATAAATAAATAAAAACACCACTGTCAACTCATCATTTTATTATTATTAGAGCATCTCCAATGTGACTTTTGACATTGCAAAAAATTATCCATATCATCAACTTTTGAAAGTTTATTACTAATTTATTCTCCAATGCATCTTGTCATTAGCTCTTTCATGGTGATGTGGATGGCATTTAATGTTAACAATGTTGACCTCACTTTCTAATATCTAACACCATGTTAAACATGATGACTCATTAATTCACTTTATATTTGGTTTAATTTTTTATTATTCTTGTATTAATGAATTATTATAATTGGTCCACCTATACAAATAAATTCTTATCAAATTGGTGCATTGGAGATACTAGTTTGCTTCAAATTTTTAGTCTTTTAACATTATTCTTATGTGGATTAACATTACAATCATCAATTGACATGTGTTAAAAATTATTGTCTTTCAACACCATAGCATTGGAGATGCTCTTAAAGTTCGACAACTCAAGAATCAAAACTGATCCGCTAAAAAATAAAATCGAGGCATAAATCAAAATTGTACCAAAACAGCCTAGAGTATGTTGAAAAATTTCAAGGCTTCATGCCTCAAAACGCAGGGCCAAAATGAAATTATTTCTCAAAATTTCCAAGCATGAGACAACCAAACCATTTTTCTTTTTCTTCTCTTTTTTTTTTTTTCAAAATTTCCCATAAACTGGTAGCAAAAACCGAATTTCTCAAGGCCAAATAAACTAATTTCTCCACCACTATCACAGCAAATCTTAAGGATAACTTAACACCAATTTTAATCACAACTAAAGGTATTTAAACCTCAATTTCCCAGGTATTTAAAGCATGTAAATCAAATGGTAAACCTCAAAGAAAAATTGCAGCACAAAGACATCATTTTCGAAAATAAACAAGCTCAAATGATAGGCGATTTATAACTCGATTTCTCGAAAACGAAGGGGGATTAAAATCCATAATTCCCAGGTTTTTAAGCTTCTTAACAGGGGTCTAAACCTCAGAAAATGTGCAGCAGCTCAACTCAAATTTTTCGAAACCCGGCAAGGTTCCGAACAAGGCAACATATATCCCGATTTACCAAATAACTCCAACTCAATTATCCCGACCCTTAAATACTTGGAAAACACTCGTTTACAGAAGCTAATACACGCCCTAAATCGAGATTCCAACATCAACTCATAACAGCAAAAATCATGCTTATTCTCATGAACTCATCAATTTCGGAAATTCTCAACTCAACGAACCTTAAGCCTTATTAAATCCTTCAAAACACACTCAAAATATTTAAAAGAGGATTAAACCATATACCTCCTTCAGGAATTAACGAGAAATGATAAAGGAGATCAGAGAAAACGGGCTCGACCATTCGCTGGCTATCAATTCTCACGCACGGCTATCTCACCACGGCTACTTGCTGCTGTTTGTGAGTCGTCGGCTGACCGCTGCTGCCCGAGAAAAGAAGCCGGCGGGGTGTGCTGCTACTGTTGGGGCCTGAAAGAAGGCCTGACGTGGTGCCGCTGAACTTGCTTGCACCGCTGCTGCTCCTCTGATCGGCAACGACCCCCGGACTCCTCACGCAAGACTCGATTTGTTGTTGCTCGATTAGCCGGCGAAGAGTTTGACGAGGACTGATGTGCTCCTGCTCGCTGAAAAGAAACGCTCGGCTGCTGCTCCTTGGCCGAAGCTTTGGACGGCTGTTGCTGACCCGAAAAGACTTCCGACGAACGGCTACTGTCCATTGAAAGCAAGTTCCGGCGAACGGCTATTGTCGGGTAGTTCTCGACAGCTAAAGCCGCACGAGGAGAACTACCCGACTCATGACCTTGAGTTGGCAGCAGTGGTTCACGCCTTGAAGATTTGGAGGCATTATCTGTACAGCGGCAGATGTGAGATTTATATCGACCACAAAAGCCTACAATATATCTTCACCCTGAAAGAGCTCAACATGCGTCAAAGGCGATGGTTAGAGCTGGTGAAGGATTATGACTGTACCATTAACTATCATGCGGGCAAGGCGAACGTAGTTGCCGATGCCCTCAGCCGTAAGGGAAAGGGCGAGCTGACCTGTATGATCACTCAACAGCGTCAGTTGATTCATGAGTTCGCTCGGATGCAGCTAGAAGTGGTCGAATCACCTCCTAAGTTGCCAGTTGTGGGAGGTGTTCGAGCTATGAGAGTGTGGCCCACGCTACAAGACAGGATCCGGCGGGATCAAGCCTTCGACGAGTTCGTTCGCTCGATGGGGGCAAAGATTCATGCTGGAGGAGTAGAGGGCTTTTACCGAGGCACAGATGGTGCTTTGGAGTACAAAGGAAGGATTGTTAGGTAGTTATGAAAATAGTCTCCAACAAACTTCAAATTAAACGACACACAACCATCGGATCTGGAGTTGGTTGCAGTCGGCGATCACCACCCGTCTCGAGGTCTGGTGGCTCCCCGACCCGACATTCTCCACCGCCTTCAATATGTCGTACTCCTCCACCACCTGTCCGAACACCACGTGCTTGTTGGCAAGCCACTTCGTCCTTGTCGTGCAGATGAAAAAGTACGTGTTATTTGTCTCCGGAACAGCCTTCGCCATCGACAGGTCCCGGTGTGCTTTCTCATGATGTTCTGGTCGGTAAACTTGGCGTCATAGATCGACTTGCCGTCATTACTCACAGTGCAGTCACTGCTCTGACAAATGAAATTGGGGATTACACGATGGAAGAATGACCCTTTGTGGTGGAGGGGCTTGCCAGATTTGCCGACGTCCTTCTAGTTGGTGCATAGGGCGCAAAAGTTCTCGTCGGTCTTCGTGACGACGTCGACGAAGAGCTCCATCACGATCCAGCGGCGGAGCTAGCTGTTGATCGTTATGTCGAAGTAAACCCTAGGATTCGATAGATTGATTTGAATTTTTTATTTAGGAGATTTTTGTGATTTTTTTTTTAAATGTGACTAACTGATTTTTTTTTTTTGTCTCAAACTTAGGGTTTTGTAATTGGGTGGGGAGGGATTTATATAAGGGATCGATTGAGTGCAAACTTTAAAAAGATGGATTCTTTCTAAACTTTAAAAAGATATTGTAGTTAGATAAATATGGAGAAAAAAATATTTACCAGGAATTCACATAATATGAGATTCTTTCCAAATTTTAAAAAGATTTTATAGTTTAATAGATATGGACAAAAAAATATCCATAGATAGAGATTTGCCCGGATTTTCAAACCTTTTTTTTTTGTATATATATATAAATCAATTTGTGCTATGGGTGGGAATTTACGGTTTTTTTTTAATAAGTTCATTATCAGTAAAAACGAAAATTTTAGGCGGGATTTTACATACTATTCACAGCTAAATATTTTGCCTTTTTATATATTTATAGATAAATATTTAAGTCGTGAATTTTTTATATTATATGATTATATGGCTAAAAATATGTTGTTTCAATCAAATAAGTCATATATTATTTCAATTAAAGAATATAAACCACCAAAAAATAGAAAAGTAGTTAGGATATATGTCATAAAATAATGTAATTTATTATTTTTAAGAAAAACAAATCAATATATTTACACAAAAAATTCATAAATATAAATAATTTATGAAGGATTGAAGTTTATCAATACTTGGTATAACATCCATTATTCTCGGAACAACTTTTTGTTTGATTTGCAACATTAATTTGAATGAAAAAAAAAATCCGTAATTGTGGAAATATCTTGATTCAAAATCTCAATTTTTTGGCATAAGAATCTCCTAATTTGTTACCAATAAAAATGGGATTCGTATTGATGAAATGAATTAAAGTTAGGCATAAGAATCTCCAAATTTGTTACCTTAAGAATCTTCAATTTTTATGGGATATCTCATTAAATTTGATTCCTAAAGAAAATAAGTTGTTTCAATTAAATAATTCATATATTATTTCGATTAAAGAATATAAACCACCAAAAAATAGAGAAGATGTAATGATTTAGGTCATAAAATAATGTAATTTATTATTATCTAAGAAAACCAAATCAATATATTTACATAAAAAATTCATAAATATAAATAATTTATGGAGGATTGAAGTTTATCAATATTTAGTATAATATCCATTATTCTCGGAACAATTTGTTGTTTGATTTGCAACATTAATTTGAATGGAAAAAAAAAAATCCATAATTGTTGGGATATCTCAATCCAAAATTTCAATTTTTGCCATAAAAATCTCCAAATTTGTTACCTATAAAAATGAGATTCGTATTTATGAAATGAATTAAATTTTGGCATAAGAATCTCCAAATTTGTTACCTTAAGAATCTCAATTTTTTTGGGATATCTCACTTAAATTTATTTTCTAAAGAAAATAAGTTGTTTTAATCAAATAAGTCAAATATTATTTCAATTAAAGAATATAAACCACCAAAAAATAGAAAAGAAGTTAGGATTTAGGTCCTAAAATAATGTAATTTAGTATTATTTAGGAAAAAAAAATCAATATATTTACACACAAAATTCTTAAATATAAATAATTTATAGAGGATTGGAGTTTATCAATATTTAATACAACATCCATTATTCTCGGAACAATTTTTTGTTTGATTTGAAACATTAATTTGAATGGAAAAAAATTTCGTAATTGTTGGGATATCTCAATTCAAAATTTCAATTTTTTGGCATAAGAATCTTGAAATTTGTTACCAATAAAAATGAGATTCGTATTTATGAAATGAATTAAATTTTGGCATAAAAATCTCCAAAAGATTCACATGTACTTTTTTCAAAATTTCTACTAATAGTAAGCCAACACTTTATTTTTAAAGTCAAAGTTACTATTTTTGTATTTTTCCAACAACCTCTTTATCTTACTATAGATGTGTGATGGTGGGTCCCACAATGTTGTTGGATTTGAATTAAATGTCCAAACTACCCCTAATTATTAGTCAAATACACATATTTGACCACAATATGATCAAAATTACCAGATTGCCATTAATGATTGACCATAGTTTGACTTCATCATAACCATTAATATGATTAATCTCATGGTCCAGATTTATTCTCATTTTTTTCGCTATCTATATATCATTCTCATATGATCTCTCTCTCTCTCTCTCTCTCTCTCTCTATATATATATATATATATATATATATATATATGAGAGAGTTCAAATAAGAACATATATATAGAGAGAAAGGATCATATGAGAATGGTAGATAGTTAAAGAAATGAGAATAAATCTGTACCATTGGATCCAACATATCAAAGACCATGATTAAGTCAAAATTTAAATATGTCAGTCAAACAGGCGGTGGTAGTTTCGTAAATAAATATATATTTTATGGTCAAATATACACATCTCATTAATAATTAAGGGCAATATGGGTATTACACATTTACCACACATGGTAATGGGCCCCACACACACATCACTATCGGTCTCTCTCTCTCTCTCTCTCTCTCTCTCTCTCTCTCTCTCTCTCTCCATCCCTACGCTTGCATCTCTCCTCTCGCACCACTGTTGATTGCTCAAACAACCCTCGACCTCAATGGCATCTCACGGCACCCACGAACTCCACGGCATCAGAAGAGCTTCTGTCCACCATCCACATCATCCTCCCATCGGCATCATGACCTCCGCCATAGAACTCAGCGTCGCCGACAAACCAGCTTTTCCGGCGATTTCTTCCGCCTCTGCTTGTCGTCGCTAGCGTCCGCCTGTGCTACCGGTAATTGTAAATATCTATATCCTGATTTCGGTAATCAAATTGAGGTTTGTGTTCGATTCAATCCGTCGTCGCTGGGATCGATCGATGGTCATCTACCCGTTTCCGGCAATCTTTGCGGCATACTGTTCCGGTGAATGTGGTGATGCGGTTTGTGACTTGCGTGAGAATGAAATTGGGACATGCTTTTGGAAATTAGATATCTTCTAGGGGCTTGTATGCAAATTACGAAAATTAAGTATATTTTCAATTGAGTTCATGTGTTAAATTGGTAATTATTTAAAATTTAAAAGTACACAATATTAATAATTAGATTGCACAATATTAATAAGTTAACAAAATCGATCGAACTTTTGTTACAGCTCAAAATAACCGAAAAAAAATTCTCGCCCATTTTTCAGTCAATAATGGTAAAACCATTACAATATATATTAATTACATGTAATCATATTTTATTAATTATTATATCATATAATAGTTATTAATAAAATCAACTAATTATAATTTACACTGAATGGTATATGTAAGTTGCATAATTATCAAAAGTTACATTGTATTTTTCCCAAGCTACTTACTCTAAAATAATATTAGTTGTTTAGTCATATATTAAATTTTCTGGCATGAAAGAACCCCTTAAAAATTATTATTATTATTATTGTTGTTGTTGTTGTTATTGTTGTAATTAAATGGTCATTTTTCCCCAATCTAATAAAAAATATGTTTTGCATTACATTTTATGCAATCAATATAGATATTAATTTGTATACTTAAATATATACTTATACTGTTCATTTATAAACTAGTACGTGGCCCGTGCGATGCACGGGAAAATAATATTTTGATTGTATTATAAATTAAATAAATAAATAACATTAATCATGATTTACCCATTATTTATAAATTAAATCGGGTTGGACACAGTCCGACCGGATGGACCGAGAACCGGTTTATAACCGATTTAGTGCGCTTTAATAAAATATTTGCTATCGAATCCGCCAACACCAGTATGTTGGACTGGTAAGATCGATACAATTTTCTAAACAAATTTTGTTACATGAAAAATTATTTTAAATTAAATTACATATTTAAATAAAACAGAGATTTATAAATTGTTTATCAATTAGTTTAAACATTTGAATCTATAAATTGTTTAGATATTTAAGTAACACTTTTTATTTAAATTTATTACAAAAAGTACTACATATATATATATATATTAAAGTATTATGTATTAAAATCTGAACAACCACAAGACGGT